AACCCAAAAAACTGTTTTGTGTGTTTGAATGTGACTAATTTAACTTAATGCTCTCTTAATTATTTTATTTAGATTTATGGAGATATTTTTGACCATCTTCTACGAAATTAAGCACAAAAAAAAATTGATATATACAACTCTAATAGTATATTATAAAAATAGAGGCTGCCTGGCCGGCATTCATAGTTCTTAAAATTAAAAATACTTCGGCAAGTATACTGTAAAGGATTTACTGGCCGAAGTATCTTTAATTTTAAGAATATAATAGTATAGTTTGTGTGGATTAGAGACTCTATTTATACGTATTGCCTTATAGAAAATATTATACTAGAGATGAATTCTATTCCTAATATCTTATGAATACTAAGAAAGTCAAATTTTATAAAATTCTTTATTGCTATATACCTCAGTTTTAATCCATAAGAAATGATGCAAATGTGTTGACTTCTAACTCGTAAACAATATTTGAATAATGTGACTTGAAACACGCCTACACTACTAATAACGATTTAATGAAAATTTCTATACTTCAACCAAATACTTTATTTTCACGACTTTTCGAATATTCTCTACCGCCATTATTTATTGTTATTATGTTTATTGCTTTGAGTGATGCCGAAAGATTAGGAAATATTTGGTTAAGAGGTTTGAGATATTCAATTCATATTCTCTTAAATATCGGCATATAGAGACGATGTACTAGCACACACTGAAATTCGTTATGGGTTTGTTGTAGATTTATTGCTTCTATATAAAATATAGGAAACATAGAAAATAGTAAATAAGAAGTGAATAGTAAATATGAAGAAATGGTAGAGTATGTAGAAAATGGTGTCCTAGTAAGCGGGTATAGTGTAGACATGTGGTACACTTACAATAAAGGCAGTCGCCTACTTCTACCCACCATGATTATGATGGCCTCTACCACGTGTACTAGGGATAAGAAAAAAAAAAAGAAAAAGAAGTGATATTGACTCCTACCGTTTAGGATGAGCGCCGGTACTGCGTGAGGTGGAGACGGCGCTGCGATGGTGGAGGACGTCTGTACGAAGCTGGTATTGCGGCTGTGATAGTACATCACATTCTCCTTCGTATTCTTCTCAGGTTTCAGCAGTGCCACGTATACCTTAGGAAAGAAGAGACAAGCAATCTGCACGGCTCCACTCAGACTCAACAGAAAGCTCAGTGTAACTGCACGAATAGCATTGCTAGTGCTCAGCACAAAAAGAGGTAGAAACGCAAGCCAGATCACGCACGTCGTATAGTTGGTGAAAGTCAGGTAGCGCGCCTCGTTGAAGCCTTCTGGGCACTTACGCGTCTTGAAGGCGTAGACCGTGCAGAAGCCTATCAGAATCAAGGGGTAGATGAGTCCTATGAGGTAGGATGCCGTGTCAGATCCCAGGCAAATGAGAACGTTTTCTTCGCGAGTTGGATAGATGTGAGCGACCGCTGGCCTGTCATACATCAACCATACTCCGTTGATGATCAACTCCACCGAAACAAGCATCGCCGTGATGATGAGTTGAGAACGCGGACTCGTGTATTTGGGCTTTTGGCAGTTCTGACGATGGTTGAATATCCTCGAAATTCTATTCGTTTTGGTGACAATTGCGGAGTAACATAAGGTATAACAGAAGCCCAAGAAAAATCGCGTGATGCCACATGTCCAAGCAGTCGGCTTGGCTACGATACAGAATGTCATTCCGAAAGATAGGAATATACCGAAGAGAAGCAGACAACTTAGTTCCCTACCAGCAGCCTTGATAATGGGCGTGTGGGAATAAGCCCAGAACACAAACGCGATGAATACTGTGGTAACGATTCCCAATCCAGAAAAAACCATGGTGCCTATGGCCCATGGACTACGGTAACTAAGGTATTCTTCTGGGATAGGGATGCATGTTGTCTTCGGCTTGCTGGGCAGACTTCCAAGTGGACAGTCGCGGCAGTGATAGTCGTCCTCCAGGAACTGGTAGGTGGAGCAGTTGGTACAGAGCCAGCAGCACGTGTCTCCCTCCAGCTGCAGCTTGGCCTGCCCAGCCTTACACGGCTCGCTACAGAAGGACCGCGGGAAGGAAGGATTGTCCTGCTTGAACCGCATAGCTGGGATGTCCATCTCTAGCTTTGCCTCACCATCACCCCCTGGAATACACTTTCTCTCTTGATACACATTCCTATAAATAACTTAAAACAGGCTAGCTAATACACATTAGAATTGTTTTTTAGCTCCATATAATTTATTTAACAAGTTTTATAAAAAATGACATTTCAGTTAAATTTCTACATGATAGAATAATACCAATTAAGTTTATTCATAGTATCTCGAACAAAACGTATACGTTTGTGTTTTCACTTATCCAGGCTATAAACATAAAATGTATCATGATTCAATAGATAGACACTTCGGTCAGTTAAAGTTTTTATTTTCTCAACGTTTCAACAAAATTCTTTGTTGAAAATCGCGTGAGAACGCACTTGCAACTTCAGAACAATTTTTAACGCCTTGCCAAATGCTTTATTTTTATTTATTTTTCTTGACGAAGACAGAAGCTTTTTGTTGAAACGTTGAGAAAATAAAAAAAATTAACTGGCCGAAGTGTCTATTTTTAATAGAAATATGAATGCCGGCCGGGCAACCTCTATCTTCAGGATTCAATAGATGATAAGTATAGACAAATTAGTTATAAAAACATTTCTATATTATCACATTCACAATTTGCATTCTAATTAGAGCGTTATAAACTTCCCCTATACATCAAAAGAGTTGAAATCAATATACATTCAGAAAAGTATTCAATGCCAATATTAGCAAAAAAAAAAAAGATTATTTGAAGGTTTAATTTCAATTTTTAACATAAAACCCTTATATATATATAGGCAATAACGACAAAAGAATTTTTTATTACATAATAAGTAGGAATCGAAATGAGTATTTTTAATTTTTAAAACTCAATATTTGGGCGAGGGGGTTATTAGTATGAGTGTTCCATCTTTAGGTAAAAACTCTAATTTTTAATATTTAAAATAAAAATACACTGTATAACAAAAAAATCGACGCACCAAGAAGGAATTGTCAGATTAGGACAAAAATTGGTGTATGTAAAGAGCATGTATAGGGTGAAAAACGATTAAAATTTCAGAACAATTAATTGTTTTATTTCAGAGTTTAATCGTCACAAATTGAGAATGTCAATATGTCGTTGGACCCCCACTGGCCTGGATGCAGGCTGCCACCCGGCGTGTCATGGACTGATAAAGATTCCGGATGGTGTGCTGCGGGGTTTCTTGCCAAATTGTCTCCAACTGTCGGGCTAAATAGTCAACATTCCGGGATGGTTGCAATCGCCTTCCCATCACGTCCCAGATGTGCTCTATGGGCGAGAGATCAGGCGACCTTGCAAGCCACGGAAGAAGTCAGCAAGATTGAAGACAATCCATAGTAACACGTGCCGTGTGTGGCCGGGCATTATCTTGTTGAAAAGAAAGCCCGGGGTGATGTGAGAGGAACGGCAACAAAACAGACCGTAGAATGT